TAACTAACTTCCCACACTCCTCTCGTTCGGTCTCTGGCTCGAGGATGAAATAATTTTCGACGAAATGAACATTCGACGAAACGAACTTTCGACGAAGTAAACGCGACCGTTATTTTTAGAATAATTGATAAAAATTCGTTTTGCAAACTTCATAGATCTTGACTAACACTTGCTTCGATCAAACCCTCCTATATAATTATTGAATAATCTACTTATATAAGATCACAGAGGTTGTTATTCCCCGTGATGGCTCCCCGTCACACATACGTCAAACGTTTTATTTATTTATTTTAATTTCAATTCTAATTCAATTCTAATTTTTTTTTTTAGATTTCCAACGTTTATCATATCAGCCGATTTGGTTTTTTGGGCCTTTTTTCAAACCTTATGTCTTATTGTGTCTCGATGTTAAACATGAGTATATTTAATGTGTAAACTGGTCGGTAGAATGATAATTACCCTAAAAAAAAATTATTTGCTCCGCTAAAAAAACTAATTTACTATCCATCAACCCGTCAAACCAATGGCCCCATCTCAAAACCAATGGGTTTTTGCTAGTATAAAGTATTCATAACGTTATGATCATACCGTACTGGATTTTGGGGTTCAAACAAAATCAGCGCATATGTATGGTCAAACGTTCCATTAAATTTTAAAATTTTGTTGTCATGTATACGTCAATGTATACGTCGAAATGCATTATTTTTATTTTATTTATTTATCGAAACAAGAATTAAAAATTAGATAGCATACTAATACACTCACCTATCATAAATATCCGACCACCAAAGTCGTGTAACGTCAAATGAAAAGGGTCCTTACTAAAAAGTAACGTTTTCTTAAATAAAACCTTTTTTTACTTTACTAAGTAGACTTGACTTGTACTTGATATCAAAATCTCTAAATTACAAAAGCTTCGAAAGGTTCGGTATGGTATTAACGGAAACATTTAGCAAATAGTCCAAAAAAGCAAATTTTCAATCGGAATCTTTACATGTAATAAAGGTCAAATTTCTTCATTAATAAAATGTGCTCGTAAAAAGGGTTTAAAAAAGTATCCGACCACCCCATAATTTTATTATATGGTGCAAGTCACCTAGTCCCGCAACTTGCTGCGCCTCGTGGCCAATTTTGGGAAAAATCATCAAAACTCAGA